ATCATATATTCTTAAAAGAATGAATGTGTCCTAACAAACATGATAGTGTGTTTTCTTTTAAGAAAGACACACTGTCGATGTTAAACAATGAGTGATCTACTATGAGTGATGGGTGCTTTTGCTGTTACATTTGATTTGTAAGCACTGCCCTTCATTTAACTGCTTTTAACAATGGAGTTTGCGTTCCTCTTCTTTCTGTAGTGCCAGATTGTTATGGATGATAACTATAAATCTATAGTTATAAGTTATAAGAAACTGATAAAATATTTTAGATATAATGTGAAGGTGGTATAAACTGGCCTCAAGTAACAGTTGCGCATGTTGTTTCTGAACTGCAGTGCCTATTTTAACAGAATAAACTGCATGTGTGGTCCTGATTTTTAACACTTTAATGTATTTAAGCCTCAGGGGGCCCCAGGCCTGTGTACTGGGAGTGCCAGTCACAAGTCTGGATAAATGGGAGGAGGATTGCGTTAGTAAGGGCATCCGGCGTAAAATCTGTGTCAGAATAAAACGTGCAGATGTGTCCTCTGTGGTGACCCCTCAGGAGCAGTCAAAAGTGCTTCCTTCTTCATTTAAGGATTTCACTTCTGGTATTTTTGATGTTCACATAGTCATGTCTGGTCATGGCCGGATGCATTGCAACGTTTCTTGGCATATTACTGCAACCGGTACTGTGCAGCCTTTGCTGGCATTTATTCAAAAATAGTTCCTTAACAATACCAGACATTACCAAATCCACACCATAACTTTCAAGGTGAAGAAAAACTTGCATTATCATTATTTTTAATGGTACATAGAGGTAAATGTAATTCTTGTAATTCACCGTGTAAAATTCTCAATTTGCTATTTACTTTTTAGTATCTGGTTATAAAGGTGTTTGTCAGCAGCACTGGAATGCAAAATGATTGGCCTGTCAGTCTTATAAAAATATCAGAGGATCTCCTGGTTGTTTAACTGTATTGCAGGATGGCTTCAGGGAAATGTTTTGCCTACAGACACAGTCCAGACAGACTCAGCTTCCAGTAAACCACGTACACAACATCAACATGGAAGTCATAGATGTTTTATTGTGAGGTAACGTGGAAACAAGCCTCACTTGACAGGAAGCTGCTTGTCAGTCAGTTGTCTAGTGAGTTCTGAGCCACTGAATGTGGAGCTTGTGTATTAAAATAGCTGCAATTCCAAAACGGTTGATGCAGTACTTTTCTTAAAACCCTTTAAAGAAACCGGAAAGTCTGCACTTTAATCAGACACTGTCCACGGACAACACTGAAATTGATTATGTAAATGTGATTGATTTATTGTTTTAAAAGTATTGCTGTTTATCAGCTGACTTGGAAGTATTAGCTGTTGTAGAGTCTTGACATGCAAGAACAGCAGAAGTTATTAGTTGCTACTTTCTTCTGTAATACTATACAGTGCTAATATCTTGAAACAAAAAATAAAACTGCTGTCTGTCACTATGTTCCCTCTCTTAGCAAGCTGACTTTCAGAGTTACATGAACCAGATCTAGGCCGTAAGAAAAGAATCTAAAGTCTTAGGAAAATTGTAGCGTCAGTATGCACAGTTTGACCCATTTCTTTGCAGATTTACTTCAATCTCTTGTAGCTTGTGAAAAAATGATAAACAAGGAGAGTATGAACAAAATTTTGCACAGAAAACTTGATCTTCAATAACCTCAAAGTGCTGTTACTATGGGACAGTTTCATTTTTATTTATCAGATTCTCTGGAATAACATTCTCCACCTAAATGAGTCACAAGATATCAAATTTCTCCCAATCGCAGCTACTTGACAACTTGTTTACACTGCTTAAAGGTTGCCTCACCACCTGCCTAACACTGTGGAAAAATACACTTGTGCAAAACAGCTCTGGCCCCTCTGAGTATGGTCACAGGACCGCTGAAGTTATCCTGTGGTGTCCGTCACCAGGATGCCTGCAGTGGGTCCTGTAGGCACTCCCTTAATTTGACTTGTTTTTGTACATTTCTGTAATGCTGAGACTGGATTCCATGCAACCTGTGGGCAGCCTGTTAAGGGTTATAACAGTATTTAGGTGGGTGGTGCTTGTGACATCCACGTTGATGCCAGTTTCCCTCCATCAGAATATTGCATTGCGGTGCCATATACTTCACTGGTTTTAATGTGGCTAATCATTGCATATGTTCATGTGGCTTTATTAAAAAAAGACTTCCAGTATATCTGACAGATCGACAGCTGACAGCTCTAAGTTTTATAGAGGATGAGTCAGAGTTGCACTAAAAGTAGAAGAGTGTCAAAGCGAAACCCAGTCTGACCATCCTTCCAGAAAATAAAAAAATGAGGAATTGCCCCAACAAAATCACAAGACCTTTCACTGAATGATTTTTACTTACTCAACATTTGGAAACACTTGGATTCTGTAAAATGAAAGCTTATGGTATGTTTTGCACAGTGGTGTGTAGATGAGAAGCCAGTGCATAGGGTTGGGTGTGTTTATTTTTTTGTACATTAAGAATGAGTTAGGTAAAAATAATTCAGATTTAAAGTGGGCCATGTATAGGATTCTTTTCAGGCATGACCTCGTGGACATTAATAAATTAACAGCCTTTTGGCATTAACTTCTTATTTACTGGACAAATGAGAGTGGTGGTAATCATGTTTTTCGAACTCTTACATTAAAGTAAACAAGTGCACATTCCAACATTTGTTGTTTTCTGCCTCCAGATAACTTAATCCTTCATTATGAGGTTAAGTGACCTTGTTTCGACTCCTCATTCTGTCTGCAGTCTATCACGGTCGACCAGTGATGGGGTTGGAGCAGCAGGAGATGGACTTGGTGGACCAGGAGTTCCAGTCTGTTCTGGATGTGAGCAGCCTACTGAAGCTCAGTGCCACTGGAGACCACATGAAGGATAACCGAGAGGGTGAGGCCCAGGGATATGAATAGAATCATAAGTCTTTTTCCTTTTTTTAATGTTTACTTCACATTTGTTTCAGTTCTGATTCAGTTGACGTTCTTAGGTCTAAGCATGCTTTTATTTAATGTTTTTTCTTTCAGTGGGAGGAAAGGAATGAATTGTTTACAGATATGCTACAAATGGTCCAGAACAGTGAACGTTTTAACACCACAGTGGAATAGAAACATGTTTTTAATTTTCTTTGTAGGAGCTGTTGACCTGATTGAGGAACTCATGTCCACTGATGGTAAGCATCACAGCACCTGTTTTAACTACATTCAGTATCTACGCTTAAATATATATTGCTGCTCACCCCTCCACAGCAGTGCATTGCTTGGCTTCCATTCATCGCCCCAATTTTCTGTAATGCTGTCTAATTGGGGGCACACTTACCCCTAACTACTGGAGGTAGTCTACCTACATATAGACCTCCATAAAGTCCTATTTCAGATAAACTGAGACCCCTAACTCTGTTATAAAGCTCTCTGGTTTTACCTTTCAGACCTTAGGCATCACTATAATGTGTCCATTTTAACGACTGGAGGTCAAAGAGAAGACATTCAAATGATTAACAGATGCTCCTGAGTTAATGCTAACATCCTGATGCTTAGCAGGTTTATTATTTGACATATTTAACATCTTAATTTGGCATATTAACATTTCCCAAAAAGTTGCTTCTGTTCTCCTGGGAGTAGTGTTTTCAGTGGGAGAAACATTTCATCAGTCATCCAAGTCATCCACTTCTACAGTCTAAAGAAGAAATGCTGCTCTGACAGCACAACTCTTTGGGCTTAAACTCAAAAATAAAAGTGTAAAATTACCGAAAAAGTTCTGGTAGCTCATTGTTCAAAACATTTTTGTTAATTAAGAAAAGGGAGATTTCTATAGTAGACTACGAAAAAAACAGGAATGTTAAACATGAATATAAAATGTTATTTAATTGTTTATCTATTAAAGGAGCTGTAAAACTTATGAAAATACAGATGAAAGTGTAAATGTTTGTCCTCCTTCACATTATACAAAGCAGTGCAGCGGGCTGGATTAATGTCTTTGTCGGGCCAATTCTGAACTCTGGGCCTTGCCTTTCACATTCTGATCTAGGTCCTAAATCATCAACAGCTGGAATGTGTGTTCAGTGTGGGTGCCATCTTTTCATTTTTGCACTGATTCCTTTCTCCAAATTCAGGTATAGACTACAGCTTCAACCTGGATGACAACGAGGGAGTGTGTGACCTGTTTGATGTGCAGATCCTGAATTACTGATGTCTGACAGTGACTCTGATGCACACTCTTACAATCTTGAGAAGCACTTTCTGCCTCTTAAAAACTGTAAAGATTTGTCCTATTTGTTAAAATTTCACAGATGATACTTTGATATACCACTGTCATCTTACAAAAACAAAAAACAAAGACTTCACTGATGTGCACCTCACAGCTAAACATATCCAGACTCTGTCCAGCAAAAAGTGCCTGATTTAATGAACCATAAGGTATTTATAAAGCCATGAGCCACGAGGTCTCAAGTAAACAGAGAAATCCTTCACATTCCTGCTGCACTTTTGTGTCTCTGTATTTTTCCACATCCAGCGGAAAGCTTGAGTTGTTGATAACTGTTTTCCTTTGCACAGCTTATCCACTTTTGGGACTGTAACAGTGTTGTAGATAAGTTAAACTTTGCAATAACATTTCAGTATTTGCTTCTTTGATGATCCAGTTCAGGAGATGTAAGCTTTGTCTTCATGCAGTACATCTTCATCTATTCAATTTCCCAGTTAAATTTCAACCACCGTTTTGTATTTATTGAATTAATGGTTTGGCTACATTTTGTTTACCTTGTTTTTGTGAAAATGTCAGAAAGTTTTCTTTTCTAAATTATTGTGATACTGCCATTTTAGGCCTCAGTTTATCCTATCATTAGTTAAATAATTGAATATTTTTACTTATTTAATTAAAAAAAAAGTAGTTCAGGTTTGAAGCTGAAGTTAGTTGACTGCCTTAATCATAATTTAATTTATTTTGTTGCACTTTTGTTCTAAATATAGTACAAATGCAGAGTTGTTTTTTTTTTTGTATACTTCATTTTTTATTGTAAGATATATTGTTTATGTTCTCAATAAATCAGTTTAATGAGCACAGTTGTATTTGCAAAGGAAATGCATGTAAGGAAAATGAACAAAAATCACTCGAATGCAAATTTTGAGTCTGAAACAAATAATTGTTTTCAAAATTGTCTTGAATCACACAGAAGGTATGCAACAATTCAAATTGGATCAACCCCCTCCCCCCCCCCCCTTTTTTTTTTTTTTTTTTCTTTTTTGGCTCAATGAAGTGTTTTGCTCTTTTAACAGATGGATAACATTTCTCAGATGCTTTCCACATTGTGTGACCTGCAGTATACACCAATACTTGAGTTCCACCAGCTGGGATGCAGGGAAAAAAAATACTAAAGAATAATAAATAAACCTCACATCTAATGAATAGAAAATGAATGACACAAGTAAACATTCGATTGTATACATTTTGTCAAATTGGAGCATTTAAAAAAAAAGGAAAAAAGAAAAACAAGTTGCAACAGACATCAAAAACATTTGAACTATGCAGTATCCTGTTTATATCTGTCAGGGTTAATGATGCCGATGCTGGACGGTAAGGGTAACAATTAATATCTGAATGTGTCCAGCCCTCCCTCTGTCTGCAGCTACACATTTTCTAAGGAATTTCAGCTCAGTGGTAAACCCATATGTAGTGATAAAGTACGATTACAAACTTTTCGTCATTGCCTCATAAAAAAGTGTTTTTTACCCCGCTGTGCAGCCTCGGCTCTCAGTGCAGAGGAGCGAATCTGTGTGTGGAAAAATGTGTGTTTCAGATGTTCCTAGGAATTCAGGAAACAACAAATGCGGCGTTCCCACATCAAACCAAAGTCCCAGTGGATGTAGATATATCACATGATTCTGAAACACCAGCAGCGCACTACAGCAATTCTGTTGATGGTTAATGTTTGTTGGGTTTTTTTTTTTTGTTTTTTGTTTTTTTAAGAGTTTTCAGGATACATCCTGAGCTGAGAAAAACAGATATTTGGCAAACATACAGAGGTTCAAAGTCTTTGCTCACCCTTTCATAGGTGCACGATATAATATCTGGTTTACAGGCTGTGCAGATTATTACATGAAATGGGTCTGGAGTTTTTATTCATGGTTGATTGTAATTAAACAAAGCACTTTTTCAACAAAGCTGAAGTTCCAGCAGGTCTGGTTTTTCTTTCCTTTGTGGGTGTTTTTAGTGTGTAATGCAGAGAGAGTTTAGTAATAAATCTTAACTGTGTGGGCAGAGTGCAAGTTTCTGGTGAAATTTCAGAGAAGCACAAGTTAACTTGAAGATCTGGATTAAAAGGATAGTTAGGTCCATAAGTATTTGGAGAATATTTTTATGTAGTTTTACCTCTGTTCACCACCTCAGCAGATTTTTAAATCAAACGATAAAACGTGATTAATGTACTGACTTTATAGCTACACAGACTCCCATTTTCAGAGGTTTAGATGTAACTGGACAGTTGAGAAGCAGAATAATGGAAAACTAAACAAATATCTGCATTTGGTTCAAAGTGTTGAGCTTGTATTTGGTAACTGTCTACTGAACTCCTTATATTACGTCCTGCAAGATATTAAAAAAGGGTGAGGTAGGACATTAGGTTGAAAAAACAAACAAACAAACCTGTCAAAGAGAGCATAAATCTCTAACTCTGCAATCTAGTATGTTCTTTAAAAGAAGGCCAGCTCAAAAACAAGACCTGAAAGACCACAGAAAGCAACTAAAGTGGAATATTGCAGAATTCTTTCCTTGGTTTAAAAAAACAACCAAGAAGAACACTGGGGAGGAGGTAGACATATTATTGGCAAAGTCTACTCTCCAGATACACCCTCATGATAAATGATCAGCACAGTGTGTTTCACAAGGTGCAAACCGCTGGTTACATTCAGCAACATGAAAGACAGATTAGACTTTCCCTTTTTTTTTGACAAATGAAACCAAGATGAACTTTTATCAGACTGATACGACAAGAAACATATGGAGGAAGAGAGAAATGACTCGTGATATGAATCAAACCACATCATCTGTCAAACATAGTGGAGGCAGTGTTATGGCATTGGCATGGCTGCCAGTGCAACCGGGTCACTAGTGTTTGATGTGCCTGCTTATAGAAGTAGCTGGATGAATTATGAAGTGTACAGGCCTGTAGTCTCTGCTCAGATAGCATTTTACAGTGCACACGGAAAAAACCCAAAACATCCTGGAAAATCAACCCAAGAGTTTCTCGGGCCAGAGAGCTGGGATATTCTTAACTTACCACTTGGTCACCTGACTTCAACTTAGAAAAGCATGCTTTTTGAATCCAAAAAAACAAGCAGCAACTGAAGTAGCTGTAGTAAGAGCCAAGTGGAGTATCTCAAGAAATGAAATGCAGCAGTTGGTGATGTCCGTGGACTTGGATTTTCATCCAGCTATTAAAAAGAAAGTAATATATATTGGAGCTCTTTGAAACCAGCACATAAACTGTTCGCTTTGGCAGAAAAAGACTGTTTTTAGGAACAGACTGTTAAAACTAGTGGGATTTTTGAACAGTTTAATGATTTGCAAGCATTTTGCTACTGCTGCTACACCCTACATCAACAAAAGCTTTATATGCTCTCCTGCTGGACCTTGTGTGCATATATAGACACATAGACCTCGCTGACATTTTAGTCATGTCTCATATTGAGAATGAGTTTGTCTCTTGGGATGCAGTGTGGGAGTTGAATGACATTTCCATCCCCTCCTCCACATTAGTTTCTGTTGTTTTGCTTCCCCTCTTCCTTCGCTTCGCTTCAAACTTCTTGGCCACTCTCATCATGTGCATCTTAAAGGAAGACCCCACAAAGGCATAGAGGATCGGGTTCAGACAGCAGTGAGTGAGAGCCAGGCTTTCTGTCACCTGAGCCGCCTGATCAAGCACCTTACTCGCCCCGCAGTGGGTCACTAAACTGTAGACTGTATCCATTGCCCGATACACCTTAACCACGTTGTAAGGCAGCTGAGTCATCACAAACACCCCTACGACAATGAGAAGGACACGCAGAGCTTTCCACTTCTTCCCTCTGCTCTCATCAGGGAGGCCCCGGAGTGCACAGCCCACCCGCCAGTAGCAGGTCACCATGACCAGCAAAGGAAGTAGGAATCCCAACAACACCTCGACCACCTCTAGGACAGCTTTACCTCCTCGAGCCATAGATGAAGGATAGATGGTTAGACAGATATTTCTATCAGATGCCTGCCTCACTTCTGAGAGTATTAAATCAGGAAGGCCAAGGAGGAAAGCTGTCACCCAAACAGCTAAACACACCTTCCAACAGCATTTCCTGGTGAACGCCCTCTGTAGCCATCGTCTTTGGCCTCTATCCTGTGCTCTGACCAGCGATAAATAACGATCCAAGCTGATGCACGCCAGCAGCAACATGCAGCAGGTGAAATTCACTGTGTAGCAGGCGGACACGATTTTACAAACAACCTCCCCTAGCTCCCAGCCCCTTGCAGCATCAGCAGCCCAGAAAGGGAGCGTGAGGAGCAGGAGTAAGTCAGCCACAGCCAGGTGGGTCAAGAAGGCATCTGTCATGGTCTTCAGGCGTTTGTGGTAGGCGTAGACAGCCACGACTAAAACGTTTCCAGCCAGTCCCACCACCAGACACACGGTGTACATGATGGGCAGGAAGAGGGCTGCGAAAGATCGGATGTCCCCTTTCTCGCATACGGCAGGATAGTCATCATAGGTGAAGTTGTAGGTGGTGTTTTCATAGTCGTAGTCTTCCTCTGAGAATTCCATGTTGATGATATAAAACTGTCAAGGGAAATACAGATGTAAACATTCACAAAAATATACATCCCCAGAGTGATACAAACAACAAACACTTGCAGGATTTATATACGAGGCAGATTTAAATCCAGTTCTTGAGATATGACTTAACTGCAGTAATTCAGGGCAGTCATTTAGAATTTCCTTGATTATCCTCTTAGAAAAAACCCAAAAACCCTGAAACCTTAGAGATTAACCAAATGAAACTTTATTTATGTTGTAAGAGCACTGTACGTTTCATTCTCTTTCAAGCTTTTCTTTTTTCCTGTCCTCCAGTCTCTCTTGATCATTCGTAGTAAAAGCTATGACTGCATGCGTAATGGTGCATTCTCAACAAAACCAAAGAAGAGGGCATAGTACATTTGTGCAAGTTTAAATATTGCAACATTGCTGAAAAACAGCCTAAGCATGAACCAGCTGGGGTTCTCCTGACACCACTGACAAATCAGAAATGGAGGATGCAGAGATGACGATTGGAGTGGTCTGGTTAAACTTTGCTTTTAGATAAAACACAGAGAAAATGAACTCAGTTTGGAGAAAGGTAGGCTACATTGTAACGGCTGAAAGTATGTTGCTGTAACGTGATTGGTTGCCGTGCTCCTCCTCTTTTTAGATGTTGGGGACCAATATCTGAGGGGAAAAGTTGGTTTGCTTTTTGTATGAACACACCATATTATTATTGTAATAATATGGTTAAGTACAGGCTGACCCACTCTCATCGAAACAATAGATATGAGTACAGTGAAATTAATCTGCAAAATGAATAATGCTTGATTATGATCAAAAAAAGAAGAAAATGTCACAGGAACCCCAAATTCCAAAACCCAAGTTACAGCATGGCTAGTATGTCATATGATGTGTTTCATATTTTTAAGGTAAGGATGTCAGTAACGCTAGCACAAATTCCCAAAAGCCATACAGCTTTGGGGTTCATGATCACCTCGAATATGCATACAAGAAAACAATGAAAAAGTTTTCCTCATGAAAATTTAATCAACAACTTTAAAGGCAAGTGGCTGTTAGTGTTATAGAGAAGGGTGCAACCAGAGGACGCATTCTGCCATGGCTGTAGTTTTAAAACCGAGTGCTGTAGTTCTCATTTCTATTTTCTCTGTTTTCTTCTCAGCTTCAGTTTTTTTGTATTTTCAAGAGTTTGACTATTGCGAGAAATGCTGAATGAGAGATTGTTCTGAGGGAGTGAAGTCAGTGCAACAGAGGTCAGGATGTATACCACAGGTGATTCATATAACCACTCCTCAAACATAAGAATACTGAACAAATTATATACCTTATTGGTTAAAAGAAGAGAGGGATTTTGTTGTAAAAATACTGAAAAAAGCAAAAAGCATTTCACCGTGTCTTTAAACATTCTGCTTGAGCAACAGTGTGCACATTACTTGGCAGGGGGACTATCTTAAATCAAGAAGGAACACAAATTAGAAACTGACAAAAATAAATCAAAATTTAGCGCCACGATTCCTGTAAAGCTGCAGGCAACTATAGATCCGATGTCTGGATTTTATGTTCCCATTACAATAAAACAGTAAAATACAACACTGCTAAGCTGTAAGCAGAACTGGAGCCACATTAGGAAACATTTAGAAACTTCACGTTCCCTGGGTTTAAGAAAATACATGTAAAGAAGAAATACTGCAATCTGGAAACAGTTGTGTGATTGTGTGTTAATTATTCTGTCGTGATGCTATCAGTGGTAACATCTGGACACCATACCCTGACTTGAACTCTTCCTCCCTTTTTGTACCTTCACTTTGATAAATAAAACAAGTTCATTTAGCCTCTGTGCAGACTGATAAGTCCAAAGTGCACTAGTTTCTACCAGTGCATGTTATCAAATTTCCCTGGAGATCCTCTTGCAAATATTACAGCACATTAATCTCCTCTCCATTGACTTTCACAGGGGAATATTATTGTTGCTACTACATTCATTTGACAATTACATTTATAATTATCTTCAAAGTGTTCCCCTTTTTTAGACATTGATTTCGAGGTTTTTAGAGTCAAGTTCAGAGCACGAGATGCCCACATTCTTTCACTTCTACACACAAATAAATGATCAACAAATAAAGTGCAATGGCACGGGAAATATTTAGAGAAGCATGTCAAACATTTGCACAGACTGACCCAATCAAGGTTGTTTGTAATATGTTTTTTCCCCTTGTAAAATAAACTGTAGACACAACACTACTGGCAGTATCTTCATTACTTTTGCCTGGTTATATGGGTTTATCATGTGGAATGTTTTTCAGTTAACTGTTGGGCATTATTAAAAGGCCATTGGTTGTTTTCTGCAGAGCAACCATATTCAGAAAAGCATCCTTTCTGTATGTAGTGTCATAGTCATGGACACGTACATTAAACATGGCCAAAGTTCTTCATCCTAGACTATTGTCCCAACACCCAACACAGCATTCAGACCATGACTCCCATGGGTGAGGATGATCATTAGAAAGGTGGTGGATCAGCCCAAAACTACACAGGAAGAGTTGTTAATGATCTGAAGGCATTTGTGACCACAGTCACTAAAATGCCATCCGTAACAAACTATACATTAATAGATAGAAATCTTGCAGTTCCTGCAACGTCCCCCTGCTCAAGAACAGACATGTACAGGCCAGTGAACATTTAAATGATTCAGAGAAGGCTTGGGAGAAAGTGCTGTGATCAGATGAAACCAAAATCAAGCATGGAGCATGGAGGTGGAAAAATATCCTGAGACTGTTTTTATGCAAAGGGTACAGGACAAAATCTTGGACAAGTACCTTCTTCCCTCAGCAAAAACACTGAAGATGGGTCGTGGATGGTTCTTCCAGCATGACAATGACCCAAAACATACCGCCAAGGAAACAAAGGAGCACAATATGGTCATGAACCATAAATCCCACTTAATGGTCACTATAGCTTACCCTATATATCTTACCCTATCTCTACCATCCTGTCACACCAATCTCCTGCATGTCCACCTTCACTACATCCATGAATCTTCTCTGTGGTCTTTCGCCTCGTCTTATGCTCCAAAGGTATTTGCTCGTCTGCCTTCACACCCACATGAACTTGGGTGAGATCCCATTTTTAATCTAAAGGGTTAATGTGATATCAGCCCACCCAATCTATAACGGCTTTAACTCTCCAGGGAAGGCTTTAGACAAGGTTTAGGAGTGTGTGTATGGGAATTTTCAACCATTCTTCCAGAAATACATTTCTCTAATTCATCCAAAAGGTGTTCTGTCAGGTTGAGGTCAGGACTCTGTGCAGGCCATTTAAGTTCTTCCACACCAAATCTGCCCAACCATGTCTTTATAGACCTTGCTTTATGCACTGGTGAGATTCCAGTCATGCTGGAACAGGAAGGGACCATCCCCCAACTTTTCCCACAAAGTCAGAAGAATGAAACTGTCCTTTCACTGGAATCACAGGCCTCAGATAAAGTCCTGAAAAAACAACCCCCACCCCCTCCACTAAACTTTACACTTGCACAGTGCAGTCAGGCAAGTAACGTTCAAACCATTTCAGTGTTGCCTCTATAACTTCATCTCAAAACTATTCAACATAAGCTGTCCCTCTGATGTTTTCATTTGTAAAAAATAAATAAACAAAATAAAATAAAGCATTATCGAGAAAGACAGATACGATTTAGAGAACTACTCTGGCCAAGAGACACATCAGACATGACATCAGAGCAGTGGAAATTTTTACTCTGGCCCGATTAGTCTTAGTTTAGATCTAACTGTTTCAAGACACAGAGTTGGTTGGATGTTTGTGGATCCTGCTGTGTAGCACTGAGAAGGAACTGTGATGGTTTGAGAGGATCTTTGTGTGACAAGGTTGATTTATTGTAATTTATTCAGAATTCAAAGGAACACCTAAGTCAACAGCTTGGAATGACAAACAATCATCATCTGTTTGGAGTTTATAGTGAACATTATTTCTCCACCACAGCTGGTTATTGCTGTGGTCCACCCTCCTTGAATGTGGTTCTGCCCCAGGTTTCCTCCTCTAGAAATTGTTCTTTTTCAATGCCACCGTTGCTAACTTGAAATGAAGTTGAATCACTTGTCCTTTAACAGGACAGTGAGCAAACCACCATAACAGATGACCTGGCCTCCTTACTCCCCCAGCATAGACCCAACAGGGATGGCTTGGGATGAGCTGGATTGTAAAGTGAAGGAAAAGCAACACGTGTTCAGCATATGTGAGAATGGCTTCAGAATAAACATCTTAAGGCAAAATTACCAAAACGAATTAAAGTAAAACTCTTATCAAAGCGTAATGTTAAGGAATGATTTATTATTTGGTGATTATATATTATATTCTGCTATTCCCTATATCTTAACATATTCTACTGTTAAATAGTCTGGTCTGTTTTTGTTGATGTTACTGTACTGGAGCAACTGTAACCCACATAATTTCCCCAGGAATTAATGAAGTATGCTGATTCTGATTCTGATTAAAGACATATGTTGGTTTACAATGAATCCATATGTGTTATTTACACAACCCCAGTCGGTCCAAGCTCACGACCATCCATAATGAGAGCCTGATTCTTGATTGAAGGTTTCTTCAAGATGTCTTGCTATGGAAATGGACTTTTTTACACCCAGCCAACAAAGTGCTGCTCAAGGAGGAAATTGATGATCTTCTTTTTGTGCAATAATGTTCCTGTTTAATGTTTACTGAGTGCTCATTAGTTTTACTCTGCACTGTAGAAAACAGTATTAAAGGAATAATAATAACTGAGTCGATAAGTTCAAAAATTTCAGTCGTACTATGTTAAAATATAGTCATTTACATGTGAAAGTCCTACACTTAAATAAATGAGAAAAAGGCCATACTCTCACTAATACATGTTTATCTTCGTACAAGCTTGTAAAATACCTTATCATTTCTTTTTAGTGGATCTGGTGTATTTAAAGTATAAATGACAAAGTGAAAGTACCTCATGTTACATGCTGTGCTTGAATAAATATCTGCATGTCACTCCACATTGATTCATCAAAACAATCTAAGAACCAGTTACGATAAATCACATTTCTAATATTTAAATTGTACCTGCTGCTGATTATTTTACATTCATTTGCATGTAAGGCTATTTAAATCTTTATTTTACTGAAAACTTTACTGGAATGCATGACTCAAGTAAATATCTAACTTCTTATTCAATAACTGCTTTGTTATAATGTTTCTGACTTCTGTTCTTAATACCTACATTACGAAAAACTGACAAACAAACAGACTTAAATCACTCAGTAATATAAAATATTACAAAAATAAATGAATGGTGACTGCATAGCACAGGTGGAAAAAACGAACTCACAACAAACCTGTCTCTCGTGTTCACCGTAAATCTAAGCAGCCAATCAGCTTTTAAAACGAAGCTTGCATGAACACAATAGAAACAGGAATATGTCTCATAGATACATAAAGGTGTTTGATATTTACTCACTGTGTCTTATTAACGATCGGTCCCGTGTGCACAGCGAGCTCGCTCCAAGCTGTTGACCGGCTTCAGACTGCTCTGAGGAGGTACGTTTGATTTGACACCAGCGCAGCGCGTGTGGGCGGGAAGTAAAAAAAACAACAACAAAAAAACAAATCAGTATGTGAGTTTGATCGATTCAGATTTTTTATCTTAAAGTTTTTGTTTATCTGAAAGGGTAACCATGTAACACCACTGCATTTATTTTATTTACCTAAACTATTTTTTTGCAATGCATGTGCAGGAGTGGGTTATTGTAAGGGACAGAAACTGCCATTGTGAAGTTTCCATTTGTTTCTCCACTGCAAATTGAATAAAACTCTGTATTCATAAATACTAAAATAAAGACTCAAGCTTTGGATTTAACAGAAAGCACATGTGGAGATTTTCAGGGTGCTCAGCGGGCATACCTCGCTCCAGTATTTAAAACAGATGTATGTAGGCCCCACAGTAAAAACAAGAAAGAAGCAAAGGATTTACTCAGGGAATCTGGTTGTGCCATCTGGTGCTTTGTTTTCGGGTTTCTCTTCACGTAAATGAAAAACTCCAGCAGAAGCTGGTGGAGAAAATGCACAAAATTCTGCACAAATCAAGGAACTGAACCCTTCATGCTCAAATGCTCCCACTGATGTCCCACCAGTGCTTGGAAGAAACCTATGCACATGCCTGGAGATGACACATGCGGACACACTTGTTACTCTGCATTTGAATACTAAGCCACATCCATAACTCCAAACCTTACACTAAACTTACCTGAACACAGTTTTAACACCTTAAAAACTAACTTGCTTTGCAGCAGTTCTCATAAAGCACAAATTGTTCTAAGCATTTGGTTTAAAGCTGAAACTCATTTTCCAGCCGGATGAGTTTAATAGTAGGTTTCCTCCATATTTTGTCAGATTTAATTCAAATTTAATGTTTGTTAGCTTGCATCAAATATACTCTGCCAGCCGGAGTCTTTGATTATATTTGGACTGTCTCTGTGTGAAGGGAGCACCCGCTGGTTTCAAATGCATTCACATTTGCAGAAAAAATAAAAGGGACAGGATTTCAAAACAAGTTTTATGTTGCTGCAAAGTTTAACAATGTGATGAGAAACCCTTTTATGTAATGCATGTGATATAAAACAAAGAAAAAGTATTTCTGTTTCCATTTCTATCGTTTTCTGACGTTCCAACAATAATATATCACTGACGGAGTTGTTAAAGGATTTGTCTGTCATCGAGTCAGGAACTGTTCTTACCACTGGGAGGAAATCTGTCCAGTTTCAAGTCCAGCTGAATCTTGTATCCGTGCAATTCAATTGCACTTCTGAGAAGGATGACTCAGACCGAGAGAAGTCAAGTGACAGGAGACAGAAACCAAGTCACACTAAACCATTTGTTTGTGGTGTTTATTGAGGAATTGTTTCTGTGTCTGAACATGACAGAACATGTTTAGATTGAGTCAGAGTAGACACTCTAAGAACATTTGGACAGGGAGAGTTCAAAGAAGGAGGAAGTAGACCAGTGCCACTGAGAGATGTACTGTATTTCACTGTACGCCCACGCCCACGGCGATAACAGCCTGCAGAGTGAAGAGTGAAGATTTGTTTTTCATCTATCCACATTTGGCAGAAGAACAGAGTTTTTTCTCTTCTGTTCGGCGTTCCCACTGAGGCCAGTTGGAGCTGTTCGATCAACAGGAAACCAACAGACACTCAGTTCGCTCTGATTTTATGAATGAAATTGTTTTGCATTTGTTATTTCTCTGAGTGAGCTGCCCTGTCAGTGATTATCGCAGAAAAATGACATTGTCTTTTTAATTATTACAAAGCGGTCTACATGGGGCAAAAATTACATCATTACATCCCGCCACACCACAAAGTTGCCCTGCTAAGTTGCAAAACAGAAGATTCAGCATGAAGATACACCCTCAAAGCACAAGGAATAAAGCAGCTTTCTCAGTTTATAGTTTATTATAGTTTTGTATTTTCTGTTTATTTTTTATTTTTATTTCATTTTGACATTTTGCTTTCAATCCAGTTTGGTTTCAGCTAGTTTCCAGAATTTACTCGTTTCACTTTTGTTTGAATATGTTTAATTTTTATTAGTTTCAGTGTATTATTGTATTTAGGTCATCTGCCAGAGGCAGGATTTAGGAAAGTCAGTACCGGAATTTCGATAAAAACACAGAGCTTCTTCAAAGAAGTTGAGTGACCGTCTGGTAGACGTCCAAATTCTCAATAAACATGTCCATTAAGGCCACATTAGGCAAGTTGGCGTAACAAATACTAAAACTAAGGAGATTTCCTCATGTGTTTTTATTTTGTTTTAGGTTGTTTTAAGCTAGTTTTTACTTGTTCAATATTTTATTAAATTTTTCTTTTTTTTGCATTTTTAGTTAAATGAACTTTTTTCACATATAGTTTTAGTATTTCATTATTTAACCTTGGTTATTCAATAATCTTGGTGCTGGAGTTTCTAATAACAGTGAATTGGCAGCATATCCTCCAGGCCCTGCGACCTGGCTCTATCACATGCTCTAGAAACTCTGTGGTGATGTAGGATCTCTCTCTCTCTCTCTCTCTCTCTCTCTCTGTGTGTGTGTGTGTGTGTGTGTGTGTAGTACATTCGACAAATAACTAGTTTTTTGTGCTTTAACTCTGGATGACTTTATTTGAAACTGAAATTCATGAAACAATAACAGTTACAGATAGAAGTCTGAAAACTTACTCTTTATTTCATCAAAACCAGTAAAATGAACAAGGCCACATTCAAAACTTGTGAACATAAACATCAAATTATAATTGTATCAGATACATTCATTTATGTAGTGCCTTAATAACCATTTTATATTACACACATATTTCTTTTATACCACTGGTCTGAGAAATATTGTGATTTTTATAGTTATAGTGTCGGTCTTCATTTCTGTTTTTCTTTTTATTTCATCATCTTCAGAAGAAACAAAGCAGGAGACTCACTGAGAAGAAGTGGAGGAATAAATACATCAGTTTGAACAATGTTAATCCATCAACCAGATAAAATAGCAACTGGAGTCATTTAATGTGTTAGTAATCGTTCCCATTGTCTTCACTTTTCATGTACTTACGCGCTAGACGTGATCACTCCTTCACTTCATTCCTTTACTGTATCAGAATTGGAGCCAGACTCCCTGTACGAGTTTTGGGTCTGTTAGGAACAAAACAAAAAATAAAAAATAAAAAATGAACCAGTCCTGCTGTGTTGATCTTCATACCAAAAATGCCACACATTTCTTCACTGTTGCTGCTGCTCAGCAGAAACTTGGACCTGATTCTTGATTTTTTTTTTTATTGCACTGTGTGGTTACCTGTAGGGTTGTGGCTTTATGTCTGATCCCTGCTGTGGTTTCTGTAATAAAAAGAGAAAAAGGTTTTAGGGGGAGCTGCTAGTTTCACACACCATGCAGAAGTAAAATGAATGAGATGCAGTCAAACTGCTGAGTTTTCTTTTAAACAACAGAAAGAGTAAACTGCTGATATGCTGCAAATTGTTTTGAGATGTAAATAATGAAATTATTATGATTATTCCTTAATTTATTTTACTTGTTAAACAGAAATTTGCCTTACTGAGTGGTGTCGTCGACATCCTGCTTGTGTCACGCGGCATTTTTTCAGATGTTTAACATTTGGGCTTTTCCCCTTCGTGTTGTGTACAGAAGTTATCTCCTCTGTCTGGGAAAAAAGAAGCAAATATTCAATATTTAAACACCACATCTTCTTATTTCATTTCATTTTGATAGTTTCTGTAATAATTAATGAAAATCTAGACACTGGCTTTGTAAAGTTGTCCTCCTTACCGGTGTCGGCTGTTCAGCTGTCATCTCAGATGAGGCCGTGATGAGCAGGATCACCTGCAGACACAAAAGGACCAGCAATGTGTTTTTGTTCATGACGAGTGGCTGAAGAGTTTGATAAAGATGTGAAACACACACACACACACAGGCCTTTATATACTCTTTGCCAACAAATAACTTCCATCTGAAGAGGGAAAAAAATAGGGTGTGTGTGTAGATAAAATGTAGCTTGTCCAAAAACGTGCAGCATATATGAAAGCTGTTTGAAGTGGGTTGTTTAACTTATCTTGATTTAATTTGATCACGTCATTTACTCTGTGTTTATTTACCTGATCTCTTGGTTTCCTTCCTGCAGTCCCTCCTTGGGTATTTCACAACAGTTAAAAAAATGTGTCACTGAACTCAGCAAAGACCAGAAATGAAACACTTAATCTTCAGTATAAAAAGAGAATGAATAAACACAGGACTGTCAGAGTTTCACTTTCTATTGAAGACCTTTTTCCACAAGCAACATTCGAGAAGGAAGATTTTAAATTTCAGTCTCGTGAGGTGTTTTCTTAAGGATAACCTGGATATTTGCTTCTATATGTTCTAAACTATATGTTTTAAACAGTAGAGTTAATAATTTGGTAGCTGTTAACCACTGTGGCCTTAGTTGCATAACAAAGTGTTGCTAACATGCATAAAACCACAACATGCCCTTCACTGTAAGGGAAGTGGTGTGAGTTTAAAGCGGATTTTATCTCTGTTTTACGGTAACAAGCGATATGTTGAGATGGGGAATCTTCAGGGAAATAGTATAACGTAAACCCCACTAGAAAATGAACATTCTTAGATGTTTCGTTTATGAGTGGGTGGATGTGGGTTCATTATTGTGAAATGTGCACTTACTAAATGTTTTCGTTCCAACAGCCGGCACACACTGTTGTGTCTGTCTGCCACATTACAGCTACAAGAGAAGTGCGTGTTTGTCCTGTAATTCCCCGTAAAGAAAAGGAAAACCTGCTGTTATTTAATACATGTGGACTTTTCTTTTATAACACGGGTGTCAAACTTATTGCGGGGAGGCCAGAATCGGCCAAGCAAAGACTCCGATTACAAATACAGTTACTCCAATTTCCATTGCAACTGAGCATTACCTCAATGTGCTTGCGGTAGTCATGGTAATGCGTCCAAAAGTCTGTGACATCATTTGTATGCCACACACACTCAACACAAAAAAACAGAGGACGTCGAGGTGATGGTATACCTGCTGCTCGGCCTGTTGCCCTCGTCACTGAGTGGCCGATTGGTGGCGTGCAGTCTGTTGATGTCACATTTTAAGATTGACTCAACTCTTAGAACCCAGGCCAGAAAAAAAATCTTGTACCGTGTATTTCCATCTAATGGAAAACCCTAAAAAGTCGAGTCCAGTCGCCTTCTTTCCAAGCTCGTTAGACTAGGAATAAAATCATTATTTCAAGTGATATATTTACTGAATAGAATAATGAATGCTCTTCACGCTTTCCAGCTGTCAGTGTGATTATAACTCAGACCTGTAGCGGTTGATGTGAGTTTGACCTTTTTATGTTAAAACATATGTGTTAAACTTCATAACTAGCAGGTACTTGCAAATTATTGATCCTTGATGAAGATAGTGGGCGCTACAGTATACAAATCAATATAAATTATTTACTTTGATAAAGTTGCAGTGATGAATATTTCTTGCGATAGTCTTTAGTCCTCTGGTCTTGTTTCATCTGGTTTTCTTCTGAAAACACACACACACACACACACACACACACACACACACACACACACACACACACACACACACGCGCAAACAGAAAAGAGGAAAACTCATTGCAGAGGAATTAACATTGGACTGATGTTAATAAAACAGCAGCACTTTTCTTGCATGCACAGATGTTTTCTTTTTCCTCACCTGCACAACAGATGTGATCAAAATTTGATCAAAATGTGTTTCACTGTTTTTTCAGAGCTTCCTGTCGAGGGTTATGTTGTTGCCATAAACTGTAAAAAGAGATCTTTCCACAGCCTGCACTGTTTCCTGTGTGCAGGTGTTCAACATGAAGGCAGCATCATCCAGCTCAGATCTTCTTTTAGCAGACACCAGAACTTCTTTATGCAGTACACACGACCTGATATTGCACACCTGATTTGACTTGTTTCTGTTTCTTACTTACTGCATAAAGTGGTTATAAATTTAAGTCAAGTTCTTTATGACTCTGAGGGTGTAATAACTGCACATGTGACACATGACAATTCATTTCAGTGCAAGATAATATTTTGATTTCTGAGTTTACATTCATACATAATTACCTTCACAAAAAGACAGTCCTGCACAGTATCTTAGCTCTTCTGGACAGAGATCTCAGATGTTGTTCCTGAGATCTGCTGGAGTCACTCGCCTAGCTTCAGAGTCACTGAACCAAGTGCTCTGATTCCTGCTGGAACCACTGTTACCTTCACCCTCCACATCTTCTTCAGCTCTTCTCTGAGTCCTTGGTACTTCTCCAGCTTCTCATGTTCCTTTTTCCAGATGCAGCTA